CATGTGTTGCTTTCAATTTCAGACCTTCTTGGTGTCACGGAAAGTTGCACCCTTGGCAGCAGTCCAAAACAAACATGGCACCGACCAGGTCAGTTTTGCTACGCGGGAGTCATCCGCATGCGGCTCGCTCGGCACATGGTTCCATGCCGCATCCGAAGCTAAGCCGAGCACTGCAGCTGGAGATCTCGAAGCGCTGCTTGGATGGCGGGCTCTCATCAAGGGCCGTGATCTGCGCAGGCCACGTCGCACAGCTCCAGGTCGCTACCCAGTGAGGGTGAGTCTTGGGTTGGTTTGTGTCTCATTTAGCCGACAAGGGCTGACATCCAGGCTGCAGTTGGCTGGGTTTCGGGTTGACTTTGCGCGGGTTTGGTTTGGCTTGGGGCTGATTTGTGCTGGGAACGCAGCTGGTGCAGCATTGGCTTTGGGGGTGCTTTCTTTAGGATGTGATTCGTCTTGGGCGGGTTCTTTTCCACACCAGCCCACAACTCGCTTCATCACCCTCAGTTTACTAAAGCGAGCAAGCAAGCAAGCAAGCAAGCAAGCAAGCAAGCAAGCAAGCAAGCAAGCAAGCAAACAACCAACCAACCAACCAGGGGGAGCAGCCCTAGTTGAACAAATACGCACCCCGTGCTCTGGATCCCAAGCTGATCCCAAGTGCTTATAACATTCGCCACGCAAAGCTCCTGGAGGTGCTTCCTTGAGATGTAGGGCAAAAACCTGGGCTGGTCCGGAGCCGCGCACCAAGCAGCACCCAGACCGAAGCAATTCTTGCCTGAAACATCCAAATCCAGGATTCGCGTGAGTGGAACCTTGGAGCTATGTGGGTGTGTCTTTTTTGTAAGGGAACACCCCCCCAAAAAAAAGAGCAAAACTTGCAGACTTTTGGAGCCGGGGGGGGTACCCCGTGGCTTGGACTGTTCCGTGCTAAGTGACGGCGGCACGGGGTTGACAAGTTCGCGGGGTTCGCGGGGTTCGCGGGGTTGGGGCTCGCGGGGTTGGGGCTCGCGGGGTTCGCGGGGTTCGCGGGGCTCGCGGGGCTCGCGGGGTTCGCGGGGTTCGCGGGGTTCGCGGGGTTCGCGGGGTTCGCGGGGCTCGCGGGGTTTGCGGGGCTCGCGGGGCTCGCGGGGCTCACGGGGCTCGCGGGGTTTGCGGGGCTCGCGAGGCTCGCGGGTTCGCGGGGCTCGCGGGGTTCACGCGGCTCGCGGGGTTCGCGGGGCTCGCGGGGTTCGCGGGGCTCGCGGGGTTCGCGGGGTTCGCGGGGCTCGCGGGGCTCGCGGGGTTCGCGGGGTTCACGGGGCTCGCGGGCCCCCGGGTTCTCGGGGCTCGCGGGGCTCGCGGGTCGCGGGGCTCGCGGGGCTCGCGGGGTTCGCGGGGTTCGCGGGGCTCGCGGGGTTCGCGGGGTTCGCGGGGCTCGCGGGGCTCGCGGGGCTCGCGGGGTTCGCGGGGCTCGCGTCGCGGGGTTCGCAGGGTTCGCGGGGTTCGCGGGTCTCGCGGGGTTCTCGGGGCTCGCGGGGCTCGCGGGGTTCGCGGGGCTCGCGGGGTTCGCGGGATTCGCGGGGTTCGCGGGGCTCGCGGGGCTCGCAGGGCTCGCAGGGTTCGCGGGGCTCGCGGGGCTCTCGGGGCTCGCGGGGTTCGCGGGGTTCGCGGGGCTCGCGGGCTCGCGGGGCTCGCGGGGCTCGCGGGGCTCGCGGGGTTCGCGGGGCTCGCGGGGCTCGCGAAAATCAGCGGGGTCGCGGGGGTTCCCGGGGCTCGCGGGTCGCGGTGTTCCTGCGGGTTTCGCGGGCTCGCGGGTTCGCGGGTCTCACGGGCTCGCGGGGTTCTTCGGGGCTCGCGGGGTTCGCGGGCTCGCGGGGCTCGCAGGGTTTCGGGGCTCCCGCTGGGCGGGGTCCCCCGATGCCTGCCGCGGGGTTCAGCGGGGCTCTCTACATTCCCCGAGTTCGCGGGGCTGCTCCCGCGGGTTCATGCGGCTCGCGGGTGGTTTTTTTTTTTTTTTAGTTTTCGCGGGGTTCGCGGGGTTCGCGGGGTTCGCGGGGTTCGCGGGGCTCGCGGGGTTCGCGGGGTTCGCGGGGCTCGCGGGGCTCACGGGGTTCGCGGGGCTCGCGGGGCTCGCGGGGTTCGCGGGGTTCGCGGGGTTCGCGGGGCTCGCGGGGTTCGCGGGGTTCGCGGGGTTCGCGGGGTTCGCGGGGCTCGCGGGGCTCGCGGGGTTCGCGGGGTTCGCGGGGTTCGCGGGGTTCGCGGGGTTCGCGGGGTTCGCGGGGTTCGCGGGGCTCGCGGGAGTCATTTTTATCGGCGTGCGGGGTTTGCGGGGCTCGCGGGGCCCCCCGGGGTGGTCGCTGCGGGCCGCGCTCGCGCGGCTCGCGGGGTTCGTCGCGGGGCTCGCGGGCACGCGGGGCTCGCGGGGGTTCGCGGGGTTCGCGGGGATCGGCGCGCGCGGGGGCCTCACGGGGCTCGCGGGGTTCGCGGGGGCTCGCGAGGTTGTACGCGGGGCTCGGGGGTAGCG